AAAACTTTAAATCATGAATACAAACCTTTGTGAAAGAAATACAATAGGCTACTAAGAATGGATATATGGACAGCATACGGGTAGTAAAACTGGCATATATCCAAAAATAAAGAGTATTAGGCAAACGCATTCAAAGGACTTAGAGCTTGTGTCTGAGGCATAACAAAATTCAAAACCTGCAGACACAAATATAAAAGACAAAACTGGAAATGCTGACAGACACTGCTAACTGGCCCCAGGCTTACAGAGGGGCAGCTCTGAGGATGTCAGAGGGACAAACCCTGCAGACAGCCCCAGCAGGCACTTTCAGCAGCTGAACTAACCCTGCCTCTCAGCCCGGTTCGTAGTTAACTGGTTAAAGTTACCACTCTGGGGAGATGGCCAGAGGCCGAGGTGAAAATCACCTCGTCAGACCAATCCCGCCGGCTACCCCCAGCATCTGCACTCTCCTCGGGTCCATACTTGATCTTTGGAACGAGGCCAGCCACCTTTCCAAGGGCAGCACCCCACAGGTGAGCAGTCATCTGCACCTTTGTGTGGACGAACGGCAGGTCCCGACTTTAATGGAGCCTTTCCGGGCAGAGAGGAGCAGAGAGGCAGGACACAGGGAGTAAGAAGGCAGCACCTGCTCCGTAGCAGCTGCCAGTGCTGAAGGCGAATGATGCCTTTTCACGACTTCCCTAAGTTTAGCCAGAAGTGTTTGGATAACAGCACATTGTATTGCAAAAGTGGACGTGTGGCATGTGTGCATGTGCAGAAGCACAATAAATAACAGCCATCCTCAGCATCACAGATCCTAACGCTTATTGGCCTTTTACCATATGGAAAGCACTGTGCTTTCGGTTCACTGTCCCATTTAATCTTTACAGGCATCCTACAGAGTGGGGATGATTACTCCCCTCATTTTGTAGATGAGGGAGCAGGTTTCTAAACTGTTTAGACAGCTAGTAAGCAGTGGAGCAGAGACTCAACCAGTCACACCAGCTCCAGTTCAATGGGCACATTGAGGCACGACACTTAAACTGAACTACGTTCTTCAAATCACACCCTAACACCCCCACACACACACCAGTATTCTAGACCCCAAAACAAGGAAGCTGGAGCCCCCGTCCTCTGAGTTTTTAATCGCTGGTGCAACATAAACCAACTACCCAAAAGCTGAACTAGGACAGAAAAAATTACAGTTGCAAATGCACCGAAAATTGTAATTTATACTTAGAAAAGAGGAGCAATGAAAAGGAAAAAAAAAAAGGGAAATTAAATAAAATCCTAAAGTGTGGAACATGTGTCAAAGGTAGGGATGGGAAGCAAAAAAAATCTTCCATCTCTCAAAATCAGACAATGAAAATATGACCTCCTTAGGAGTGAGACAGCCACTTTAAGTTCAACAAAAATTTGCAAATAGTGAGGGAGCTCTCTTCTAAATTCCAGATGACCTAAAAATCTCAGGATATTTATGCGTGGTATCAAACAGTCATGGTAATTTCTAACTCGCCTGTCTATTGCCAATTCATCTGGTTTACAACCCTGTGTTTTCTCTACGCTTTTGAAACTTGAAAGAAGCACACGAGCTATGGGAGCACCTGGGGATTAAATAGTGCCAGGTACGCAGGATTAGCTCAACAAACGTTCTCCCAGGGTCAAGAAAGGGCAGATGGCACAGCCACCCCAAACGCCAGTTTCACTTCAATGTAAGCAATTAAAGGTTATTTTCTTTAAATAATAAAGCAATCATGATATGTGATGGAATAGAATGCAAAATGTGAGTAAACTTCTAAGCTTCAAAATCAAAATGTCCTTGCACTGTTATCTCTTTAGGGCAACTCCTGTAAGGATCCAGAGGAATCCTGGTTCTGTCCCCTCCATTATTTTTATGACGTGGCTGAAGAATTTGAATAAGGGTGCACTAATGAATACGTAAATGCAGATATCTGACCTGGGTCCTGGACCACTGGCCTTCATATTTACAAATGAATCTGTTCAGGAAGACTATTATCTTTATGCCACATTTGAGAGAAATGGTGCATCTTTTTAGCTGGAAGCTTATTAGCAGTTTATCAGCCTAGTGGGCCGCTAGGACCCATAGCAGCTGAAGGATGACTTCCTCCTTCCTTCACTCTTTACCCTGACAATTACACTGTGATTTACATTTTATGCCACTATTTGATCCAAAAACAGACAAAAGATATTTTATTCTCCAGCATTCTAACATATTAGAAAGAGAAATAAACAAACAAAAAAATCCTTATACTCCATCCCTCTAATCTTCATCCTCATCCATGATCATCTTGAAACAGTGTTTTGAAAAGCGAGAAAAGAAAAGAGAAACACTAACTAGATGAATGTGAGGCTTACACTCTTTAACTCGTGCAGCTCTAAAGGGACGGAGATAGCCTTGTCCAGGGTCTGAATGGATCAGGCAGTGTCCGTGACGGTGTAGCTATAGTTAAGCGGAGAAGAAACTCCGAAATATTTTGGGCTTATTGATCCTGAATGTTTCCTTAGAAAATAAACGAGTACCCAAGATTCCCCGCAGACCTCAAAGAAAATTTATAAATAGAAAATATTTGTCAACCTGGACAAACTGGCTAAAAGATCTGTCTAACTGCTAACATAGAAAGGACCTCATGCCCTTGATTTCAAGTAAAGCCATGGTACAGGTAACCACTGGCTTACAAGTGTTCATATTTTTTCTTGCTAAAACTTCAAAAAGATGCTTACATTTTTCCAGCACACTTCCTGTGTATGTTTGATCCCATCTGATAAGAAACATGCATAGGGTTGGCATAGATATAAAACAAAACAAAAAAAACAGATATGCACTTCCTGGTAAGAAAGCACATATCCAGGTGCTCTAGCTCAAGTGAAAAACAAAGGCTTTCTAAAATTTATTTCAATAGTGAAGCAAGTAGACACCAGCTGAGGAACATTTTGATTCATTCATAAAATGAGCTATGGCTTTGAGCTGACATATCTCAGAACTTGGGTCTTCCCACCATAAATGTGACTGTATTATATATTCATTTACCCACACTGACTGCTGTAGAGGGATCTAAACTTCCTTCAAAATATATTCCGTATGAATGCAAACTGGTATTATTCATCCCAATTTCACCATTTGCAAGGGAATTCCCCTCTGAAGAGACATTCCACAGCCTGAGGCTGCTCAGGAAAGGAGCTAATGCCTTTCCTCACCCTACTAAGCTCTAGTCTTCAAGGACTGGAGGAAAAGGCATCCAGCACAGCACCGTGCAAGATGGAAAGGTCAGGCACCAATATAGTAACGTACTGTGTGATGTGGCTGGATCACTGAGCTCCATCCCCTGTGCAAGGAGATTTATACTCACCACTTAGTAATAGGACACAGTGGAAGGTAAGTCTCAATGTCTTGCTCTAATAGAAGCAAGCAGGACAGGGCCAGGGATTTAGCTCAGTGGTTCCGCTGCCTGCGCTTGCAAGCACAAGGACCCGAGTTTGATTCCCGGTACCAAAAGAAAAAAAAAAAATTAAAAAAAAAAAAGAAGCAAACAGGACATGTAGAATGTTCCGTCTGACGAAGTGTACCATCTTGAAGATACGTGTATTTCATGGGAATGTTTACCCCACCTGCTTAATTTCTAAAAACTCAGGAGAACAACAATTTAGGATTCTTCCCGCATATCCATGTAGGAAGTACTCCGAGGTAGAAGGGTAGAAGGGGACACCCATTTGACTTGACAAAATCCACCATAGTAATCCTGGAAAGTGAAATTTCCGCATCCTATAATCAGGAGTTCCTGGATATTTGATTAAATACCCCAGGCATTTGATCCCCAGCCTACTTTCAATTCTCCTTCCAACTGACAAACAAGAAAAATTAGACCAAGAAGCTGAAGAAACAAAGTGTGTATTTTAATACTGAAATGCTTCTACCTGCCTTCCTGCTGGGAACGGAATGGGCCAGGCTTTCACAATGTTAGTCAGCTTAACTCCCAGCTGGTGGCACTGGGAAAATGTAGCCAGACAGTCTTATTGCTGTTTCTGTCCTTTAACTGCCAACTGGAATACAATAGAGGAGTCAAGGGGAAACAGTAGAGAGAGGATCCAGGAGGAGACAAAGCAGCAAAGACAATGCCAATGAGTCAGACGTTGGGGTTCCACAGCGCTGGCATTCCAGGCTATTTGCACCTTGGAGATAATTATGCCTTTATTAATTTGCTCCTCTTCCCTCAAAAATTTATGATATTTTACAAATCACAAGCAGGTGTTCACCTTTGCAATATTTTAGGATTTTAAGATTGGCTCAATCAAAAAAAAGAAGAATGACTACATCACATTGCTTTAGATAATGTATCTAACATATTATGGGAGATTTTACTTTCAACGTACAGGGTAGCAGTGTTGCAAACACTATTACCTTTGAACTAGAAAGAGGGTATTTCCATTTGGACCGATTATAGCGTATGTGCTGCATAAAAAAGATGAGATTATTAGAACAGCCTCTCCTCACATTCACAGGCACTTGGAGATTTACTTACATCCCTCTACTTCAGCATCTTGTCATTGGCTTTTGTACTTTATTTTTTCTTTCCAGAAAACACATTTTTATAAAAGTAAACACGAGGCTACAACTTACCAAGAAATATTTATTCACCCCTTTAACTTTACTAAGCTATTGCCTTTGTCTTATTCAAATGCAAGAACTCACACATTAAAAGCTAAACCTCAGCAAGAATTAGAAAACAGCAGGTCTTTTCCCCCATCATAATTTAAATGTATCTAATGTATATTTTATTTAAATACATGGCATTATATACCGAGGTTTCTAAGCTGTAAAGGATGGAAAATGAACACAAATAATTTGACTTATACACAAATAAAATCATTAAGGTTACAGTTTAGACAATGCATATGAGAATTATAATAAAGGTTTCTGGATCGCACCAATAAATGCAAACTTTCTTGAGAATGGCATAATGATATGATCAAGTGAAATTCCACAGGACATGATGCAATCTTACCTCTTCAAATGGGGAATCTAAAATCTTGCATTGTCCAGTTATTTTATTAATAATACAGCATCACCTTTGTAGTAGTCTCTTTAATAGAACACTGTCTTTGGACACGATCAGAGTCAGAGCAGAATACAAACTATATATGACTTTTCTTGTTTTAGCCAGCCTGAAAGTTCAGATTAAGGGAAAAAGAATCAGAACTTTCCACCGATCAATAAAAAGAAAAAAAAATCAAAGTCATAGCATATATTAGGATGCAGCTGCTACAATTTTATATTTTAACTTTCTTATAACCGACTTCTGACCCCATAAGTCACTGTAACTCAAATTATATCTATCTCTAGACAAAGCAAGGCCATAATCTGGAAATTTTTTACTTTAAGGCCCAAATTATCTTCCTTTCGTCAGCTACCCTGCTCAAATTCATTATAAAAATGACTAATTTACTACCTCACTTCACGCGAGGAAGACAGTACTAAAGAATGTGGGCCCCAGAGCGGAAATACAAAGTGCTACCCGGGGACGGATGAGCACACGATAGTGTGTGTAACTTAAATCGTTCCAATTATTCTTTTGCTCATAAAATTACTTCTATACTCTCCATTTCCATTGGTAAAAATACACACACTGAAGCTGGACCCATTAGCATATAACACTTCCTGCTTCTGGAAGCCAACTTACAATAAATCTCTTACCTTGTAGAGAGGTGGAAGAGAACAGGGCTCATAATAGGATGAGTGATGCATAAAATGTTCTTCAGCTGACTTCCCATGGGATTTATGCCTCTCGACCTAGGAAGACGGTCTCTGCCTGCATGGATGGAATGCTAAACAATGTGGTGAAACAACCAACGCATTATGTATAGGTTTTCAGTGCTGAGAAATCTAGAAGAAATCATAAAATAAGTAAGCAAATAAGCAAGTATGTATCTGAAACTCTCAGCACAAGTTAGGTGGGAAAATATACAGTTTTAAACAAGGAAGGTTAGCGACAGACTCATATTTTTTTAAGTGAGAGTATATAAATGATATGCTTTTGCTTAGAAACTGAGGGATCATTGTATCTTTGGTGAACGACATGAGCGGCCCTATTTTATACTGTATAGCACAAGTATTCCACAAGGAAATCACTGAGTGTGAATTACAAACAAGATGTCAGCCAAGGAATTATATTTTTTTCAGAAGTATTGAAGAAATTTTAAAAAGTAAATCTAAGAAACATAAATGAGACAATTTTATGTGCCATAACTGTAATTAAATAGCCACATTTATTTGTTGGATAAAATCATTACTAAGTTTTTGAAGATATAGTTTCAAATCATGCTAGTTTCCGATCTAAATTTAGCCTCTGTTCCCTTTGTCATATTTCTTCAGGCATGAGAAGGAAAATCAATGCCCCTGCTCACCTTTGAAAGAATTTCAGGGCCGAGTCTCCATGGTTCTGCGGGATCCAATAATCCGTGGCTCAGTATCGATTTTCCTATGACACCTGTAGAAACAGCCTCTCCTTCCTTTCTAACAAAATATAGCAACAAAGATCGTGTAGTTTCTGAATGAATTAAAGCATGGGTGATAAAGCACAACTTCATCCTGGAAGGAAATGTGGTTTGTATTTTTGAAGTTGTTAATATTGCTTGCTTTTTCTGAGCCACTTAACAGCTATTTAAAGATAATGTGCACATCTATTTTTGAAGATAATTCAAATGTAATTTCCTTCAGTTTCCTGCAGCTAACTCATATATTACAAATAGTATTTATTTTTCAAAGGAAATAGGCAAATGGGAAAACTATCAAAGTTCAAGTCCCAATTTAAAAATATCTCCAAAATCGAAACTCTTCTTGAATATGAAAAACCACAATTGTTTTCTCAAAATCTAACGCTTGGTAAAACAGAGGTCATTCAGGAGGCTAGATTAGAGTGTATGAAAGCCTAGGAGAAAAGGTGGGTTAGACTCGGGCCTAGATTTTGCAGCATTTTACAAGCGAAAACATATGAGACACCAGTATTCCCATTTTTCCTGACAAACGCAGATGCCAAGAGCTGAGTCTCCAGCATTCTTCACACACCTGATTTAAACCTCCAGGGTATTTATTTCACCCTGGGCAGACTCCTCTGGGAATGTCTGAATCTATCCCCTGCAGCCCTTCCAGGAGTAGCTACAGATGGTAACCCCATTTCATTGCTTGCTCCATCAGCCTGAGAATCTGCAAAAAAAAAAAAAAAAAAAATC